CGAATAACTGAGAGTGCTTTTTGCAGAGGCGTGCTTGTATGTGTCTGTGCATGTCTACATATGTGTGTGTTCAGTTTTTGTTTACTTAGTTATATATGTGTGTTTGTGTGTGTGTGTGTCGTGTGTGTGTGATTGTGTGTGTGTTTTTGTTTTGTGTGTGTTGTGTGTGTGGGTTTGTGTGTGTTTGTGTGCTGTGCGTGTGTGTGTGTGTGTGGTTGTGTGTATTGTGTGTGTGTGTGTGTGTGTTTGTGTGTGGTGTGTGTTGGTGTGTGTACATATGTGGTGTGTGTGTGTGTGTGTGTGTGTGTGTGTGTGTGTGTGTGTGTGTGCATGTGTATTTGTATATGTATATATATATATTTTTTTCTTTTTTTTTCTTTTTTGTATGTGTGTGTGTATCAAGATTGATATAAATCTAGCTGTAATATCATTGCAATACCAGTGATATTACTAACAATATAACAACACAGTAAGGCATAACACACAATACCAAAGATACCAATACGATACCAATAACACCCCCAAAATCGCAAAAGGAACCAAAACACGCACCAACTTTCGCGCAACAAAAGGCACTCGAAATAAAACCCGGAAATAATGCAGAAATCCAGGTCATGTTCCCCGCATATTCCCCTTATTACACCGTCCATCCCGGAGGCTCTGGCAATCCTCTTAACCACGAGTCTTATCTTCCTCTTGCCCCGAAAGTCTCTAAAAAAAAAATACCCGATTGAACGTCTTAAAAACAAAAAAAAAATGCCAATGCGATGTCTCAAAAATGCCCTTGACGTGCTGTTGTTCCGAGTAAATATTTGGCGAAGAATTCCTCCTTTCTCTCTCTCTGTCTCTGTCTCTCTCTGTCTCTCTCTCTCTCGCTCTTCTCTCTCTCTCTGTCTCTGTCTCTCTCTCTGCTCCCTCTCCTCTCTCTCTCTCTCTCTCTCTCTCTCTCTCTCTCTCTCTCTCTCGCTCTCTCTCTCTCTGCTCTCTCTCTCTCTCGTCCTCTCTCTCTCTCTCTCTCTCTTCGGTCTACTGGACTCTGGCGATGCAAGGACGAAGGCGGACAAAAGGAATGTTGGGGGGCGGGTGTTGTGACAGGCGGAAGAGGGGGAAGAGGGGAAAGCAGGTGCTGGTGGAAAGGAGGGGAGGGAAGAAGGGTGGAAGGGGAAAGAAAAGAAAAGCGGGTAGGGGAAAGGAGGAGGGAAGGGGTGGTGGAAAAGGGGGGGGGAGGAGGGAAAGGGTAGTGGAAAGGTGGGAGGGGAGAGGGAGGGAAGAGGTGGTGGAAGGAGGAGGGAAGTGTAGTGGAAAGAGGGGGAAACAGGTGGAAGGGAGAGGGAAGAGTGATGGAGGGAGGAGGGAAGGTTGATGGAAGAAGGAGGGAAGGGGTGGTGTAAGTGGGAGGGAAGGGGTGGGAGGGAGGAGGAGGAGACGGGTGGAAGGGAGAGGGAAGAGGTGGTAGAACAGTGGGGAAACAGATGGTAGTAAAGGGGGGGAAAGAAGAAAACGGGTGATAAAAGCGGTGGATACAGCTTATGGAAAGAGGGACCGGGTGTTGGAAGGAGAAAAAGGTGTGGAAAGGAAAAAAAACAGGTAGTCGAAGATACAAAAAGGAAGCAGGAAGAATAATAATAAAGAAAAAAAAAATAGAACAAAAAAAAAAAACATATCGAATAAGGACAGAAAAAAATAGAGAAGAGGAAGAGGAAACGAATAAAAACAAACACAAACGAGAAAATGAATTTGTAGAAGATCAAAGAGATAGAATTCGGGAAGAAGCGGAAGGACGTGAGAGAGAGAGAGAGAGAGAGAGAGGGGGGGGGGGAGGCAGTCACTGGACAAGAGGAAGAGGAGGAGAGATAAAGAGGAAATGGACAAGGGTGAGACGAAGGGAGAGGGGAGCAGGTGGCGAAACACACGTCGGGAAGCAAAAAAAAAAAAAAAAATACAGAAAGAGGAGAGAGAAATAGCAAAAGGGGAAGAGAAAGAGAGGTGACATGCGAGAAAAGGTGGAGAGGAAGGATGAAGGTGCCGAGGAAAGAGGAGAAGAGGAGAATTAGAGAGAGAGAGAAGGAGAAAGAGATAAAACGAGAATGTGGGAGAGAAATAAAGAGAGAGAGAAAAGAGAAATAGAGAGAAGAAGAGGGAAGGAGGGAGGGAGAGATAGAGAAGAGAGAGAAAGGAAGGAGAGAGAGGGGGAGGAAGGGAGGGAAAGATAGAGAGAGAGAAAAGAGGGAAGAAGAGAGAGAGAAAGTGAGAGAAAGAGAGAGAGAGAAAAAGATTCAGGGAAAATGGAGATAAAGAAGGAGAGAAACAGATGACAAGATAGAGGAAGAAAGAAGAGAAAAGATAAAAGAATGAAGGCGTAGAAAGAAACGAAGCAGAAGACAATAGGTGACAGAGAACTAGAGAAAGATAGATAAAACAAAATGTGAGATAGTAGTAGAGGAGATTAAGAAGAAAAGAAAGAAATGGAATTAGAAGGAGACGCGTATATGGAAACAGGAATAGAGAAAGACCGAGATAGAATTGACGTCATTAAGGAAGAAGGAGGAAGGAGGTACGTCGGAAGAGGCGAACGAGAGAAACAGGAGAAACGAGAAGAGAGAAAATAGAAGAAAAAACAACGAAATAGCATGTGGGAAGAAGTGGAGAGGAGAATGAATAGAAGAAAAACAGAGATTATGTGGGGAGAGAAGGAGAGGAGAGAAGGGAGAGAGTAAAGAAAATATAAAACGAAAGGTGGAAGAATGGAGGAAGAGAGGAAAGGGGAAAGATGTTATTTGCGAAGTCTGGGAGAGCGAAAGTACCAAGGGAGAGAGAGAGAGAGAAAAGAAAATCTGCAAAAGGAGGAGAGAAAATAACAATAATAAAGAAAAAACAGAAACAGTAAGAGAAAATTGAGAAAACTACCAGAGGAGGATAAGAGAAGGAGAAGGAGAAGAAGAAGGGAAGCAAAGGAATGAAAAAAAAATAGAAGAGAGAAAAAAAAAAGAATAAAATCGAAAAAATAAAAAATAAAAAAGACACCAAAAGGAAGAGGAGGAGGAAGAAAGCCTCAAAGGAAACGAAAATAAGAATAACTAGAAAAGAAAGAAAGAAAAAAGATAACAGAGAGAATTACTCCAAGACAATTAACAAAATTAGAGACACTCTTTACGAACAGCATAAGAAGAGGAAGTGGGAAAAAATAGCAAAAAATAATTACGAGAAAATTATTCTTAAAAGAGAAGCATGAAAAAAGGAGGGAAAAAATAGCAAAAAAAAATAATAGAGATAAAATATACCAGAGAGAATCATTACGAAAATTAAATGATAATAAAAAATATTTAAGAACGAAAAGAAAAAAGGAAGAAGGGGAAAAAATAAATAACAGAGTAAAAGATACCTACAACAAAAAAGAAAAAAAAACATCTAGCAACAGCACGAAAAAGGAGGAGGAGAAGGAAGGAGAGAAAACGACACCGACGAAGAAGGAGGAGGAGGAGGAGGAGGAAAGAAGAAAGAAGAAGAAGAAGGAAGGAAGAGAGGAAAGGAGGAGGAGGAAGCAGAGGAAGAAGAAGAAGGAGGAGGAGGAGAAAGGAGAGGAGAGAAGAGGAGAAGAAGAAGAAAGAAGAAGAGGAGGAGAGGAGGAGGAGGCCCCGAAACCGACGAAAAGGGAGGAGGTGAAGGAGGAGGAGGAGGAGGAAAGAAGAAGAAGAAGAAGAAGAAGAAGAAGAAGAAGAAGAGGAGGAGGAGGAGGAGGAGGAGGCCCCGAAACCGAAGAAGAAAAGGAGGAGGAGAGAGAAGAAGAAAAGAGAAGAAGAAGAAGAAGAAGAAGAAGAAGAAGAAGAGAAGAAGAAGAAGAAGAAGAAGAAGAAGGAAGAAGAGAAGAAGAAGAAGAAGAAGAAGAAGAAGAAGAAAAGAAGAAGAAGAAGAAGAAGAAGAAGAGAAGAAGAGAAGGAGGAGGAGAAGAAGAAGAAGAGGAAGAGGAGGAGGAGGAATACCAATACTCCCGAAGGTGGTCCTCGGAGGAAGCCCGAGCGAGAAAACACAGCGAATCTAAATTGTAAATTAGATACAGATTTTTTTTTTCTTTTTTTTCTCTCGACTCGCCAGAAACTTGGTCAAGGTACGTCTGACCGCGGGTAGGTATTAAGAAGCAACGGTACAACCTGTAGCCCCTTGACCCAACATCCCATAAGGGTCAGAATCGGTACAATACACATCAGAAACACCGTACGTCTGGCAGCGGTCAACAGCGCATTCCCAGCTACGTATTGAGAGTCACAAGATAAGACATTCGGATCAAGATAAGACGCCGAGATAAGCCACTTATGAGGAATACGGTAAGTGGCTTGTGAGGAGAACAGGTAGGCGGCTTTGGGTTGAAATGATTTATTAAATGTAGCCTTGTAGGTCGGCGAAGGAGAGAGCGGCCATCCGGTGACCTGCTTCGAAAGGAAGTCTACAAGTTTATTGATATATTCAGAGCAGTCTGAAGTTTAATCTGTGTCTTTTCATCTAGTTATATAGATCGATATATCTCTATCTATATCTACATAATCGATGTGTCTTATCTGCTTATCTCTTTTATAGTGTCTCTCTTTTCTCTCTCTCTCTCTTTCTCTGTCTCTGTCTCCTGTCCCTGTCTCCTGTCTCTGTCTGCTGTCTCTGTCTCTGTCTCTCTGTCTCTCTGTCTCTCTCTCTCTCTCTGTCTCTCTCTCTCTCTCTCTCTCTCTCTCTCACTGCATCGTCTGCTCTGCGTCTCTCTCTCTCTCTTCTCTCATCTCTGCTCTCATCTCTCTCTCTCCGTCTCTCTGCTTCATCTCTCTCTCCTCTCTGTTCGCGCTGTCTTCCTCCTCAACTCTGCTGCTGTATAGCATATATCTACTGCTATCNATATATATATATATATATATATATATATATATATAATATATATAATAGATAGATAGATAGATAGATAGATAGATATGCCTTTGGCTCCACTTACGGACGAGGAAATATTCTGTACAAGAGTCATTATGAAGGAAGAACTCACTTTCACCGAAGAGACCTATATGGTGATGAAGGAGGAACCATTCAGTTATGCAGATGAAGCGAGGGAAGAAATGGGCGACCTAAAAGTGGAACAGAAATGTCTCTTTCTTTCACAATCTTCATGGCCTAAAACATTAAACAAATGCAAAGGCCTCGTGTATTTTCATTCAAGATCATCAAGACTTGTTAAGAGCGCCATTTGTAGCTGAGAACTGCGGGAACAAGTGTTCATCAGATGTTCATCAGGCGATGCAGAAGGAAAAAAGTGTTGAGGATGAACGCCCAAAAGTGGAATCCACAATGAATCATTTTGTATGTGAGGTGTGAGGCAAGAAATTCTCTCAAAGAAGTCAAATCAACAGTCATATGAGAGTGCATACAAAGGAGAAGCCATACATTTGTGCTGTTTTAACAAGGCTTCCTTTCAGAATATGCATATCAGAGTACATACAAAGAAGAAACCATACATTTGTGAGACTTGCAACAAGGCTGTCTCTCAGAAGTGCCATCTAGTCAAGCATATCAGAGTGCATACAAAGGAAAAGCCATTCATCTGTGATATTTGCAACTATGTCTTCTCAGTAAAGTGTAGTCTAGTGACACACATGAGAGTACATACAAAGGAGAAACCATTCATCTGTGATGTTTGCAACAGGGCCTTTTCAGAAAAGGGTGTTCTAGTGGTAAACATTAGAGTACATACAAAGGAGAAGCCACATCTATGATATCTGTAACAAAGCCTTCTCTCAGAAAGGTGAACTAGGCAAACATATCAGAGTACATACAAGGGAGAAGCCATACATCTGAGGCCTTCTCAGTAAAAATCAGTCTAGTGAGACACATGACAGTACATACAAACGAGAAGCCATATATATGAGAGATTTAACAATATACATATATACATATACATACATACATATTTATTTATATATATATATGTATATATATGTGTGTGTGTGTCTGTGTCTGTGTACACACACACACACACACACACACACACACACACACACACATATATATATATATATATATATATATATATATATATATATATATATATATATATATATATATATATATATAGTGAGTCATGGTTGAGTACATGGAAGTTGTAATCACATTGACATCCAGTCGAATTTTCTTCTTTTTGGTGTACATAAAGGGCACAGGCCTTATGTCTACAAAGGCTATGCATGTATGCCCTCACCCGCGGAAGACATATCATGGGGAAAATGAGACTGCATCTAATAGCATGATGTTTCATCTAAAGGAAACACTTTTCTTGATATTATTTGGGAGGAATTGTCCTATTTTTTTCTTTAGAATTTCTTTTTCTGATTTATGCAGTACATACTACTCTTAATACGTAGCTTT